CTTCTGAAACTTATCTTCGTCTCAGTAGCCATCAGACGTTGTTTAACTTCATACTTTAGATCACTTTCGGACTAAAATTATATTTAAATGTTATTATCTTATAAAATAACTTGAAAATTATTGTCATTAACAACTTAATAAAAACAATTCTAATATAATGCTTACATCAGTGATATTCAGTACATATTACAAATGTTGTACTGGAAAAAACTGTTTTTAGTGTATTATATAATGAATTAATCTTTGATAAGTCCTTTTTGGATATATATATAGATAAAATTTAGTTATTTGTTCTATAAGTGGAAGAAAGATAAAGTGAATTAATTGCATTTTAGATTATAAATAGGCCCGCAAAATTTCAACAAAATGTTTAACAATGTAACTAATTAGTAATAGACTTTTTAATATATCTCAAGCCAATATTACAAGCAGTTTTTTACAATACAATTTTAGCTATAGGATTGCAAGATTTAAAGGAACAATTATTTATTTTATTTGATTCGTCAACAGCTGTAAAAAAACACTTGTATACAAAACCATATCTATGGTACAAACACACTTTAGGAACGTAATATAATTTAGTAGTGCTTTTGGTTTTGAAGACCAATACTGTTCGATATCCGTTTTGGATTCCTTAAGCTATCGAATTCTCTCTGTGGAACGTCAGTTATGCAGCAGTCCATCAAACACTGCAGTCAATTTTACATCGAATTTCACTCAACCGAAAAATGTTGGTCGATGTCTTTTAATTTTAGGTAATATCAAGAAGAGTGTCCACACTATTAAAATTCGTTCTATGAAAGTTATATCAGGTTATTCAGTTCAGGTTGAGTAAGGCTAGGTTAGGTTAGGTAAGGATAGGTTCATTTCCAACAGCTTCATTTGAACAGGGCAAATGTTTAATAGTAGTAACCCTCTTTAATGCTAACTTTAAAATGTTAAACAGTTTAATAGATCCAGCAAAACATTGGGTTATATAACGAACATTTCATTTAGCTTACTAAAGATTTTTAAAGTTTTCACGAACATACAAGTAAACGAACGAAATGTCGATTGAAAGAGCTCGTCCTGTGCCAAAATCAGCGTTGCCAACCACGCAACAAGACAAGACAGGCCAGTGGCAACAGTGGCCGCATTGTCAGCACCAATGCTGCCAACACGCGCCGCCACCATTCATCAACTGGATCCTCAGTAATACCACCCTTTTATCTCGGCTACGGTTAAAAATATTGCTGTGGTCCATTTCGTTATACCACTGGGTGAAATTAATCTGACTTAAAACACAGTTGTTTTACAAATTAATTTTCTTTTCTTGTATAATTGTTGGGATGCTATACTTTTTTACTCCTGATATTTGTAAGCTAGTGAGTTTTATATAATTTAACCCTTTAATGTAGGATTTTTTATGAATTTTACAAACGCATTTTTAGGTTAGGTTGTTTTATATATTTTTTCTAAATGAATTTTAACATACCAAACCAAAATTAAAGATAAGAAATCAAAAGGTTTCCTCCTTCTATACTAGTATAAAAATAAGTTGTTTGCAATCGCTATTAATTTAATAACGGCATAAACGTCCACCATATCCAAATGAATAACAAATGTTTTGTTAAATTAAAGTTAACGCATGTCGTTTTACAAAAACCTGGTAATTATTGAACAATTTGAGCCCTCTCTTGTAAAGATTAAACTACTGTACTATCTTTATAAGTAAGTCTTTATAAGTCTTTATAAGTAACGGTAGGACATATAATTATCAGTTATCAATCATTGAGGTGGGGACACCACCTATTTTAACTATGGTGGTTGTATTTTTTATTATTGATATAATTGTATTATTATTGTATTATATTATATTGTATTGTATTATTTAACTATTGTATTTTAACCCAAAAGGGAAAGATGAGTAGGCCTATAATAGAGTTAAATTATCTGTGTATACTTAAAATGAGGTTACTTACCTGTCCTCAAACAGTCTAGTTTTGTTCTTGGTCCGCCTAGCGTGATTGTACATATTTTTTTGTAAATATCTAAATGTTTCCTAGTGTGTTTATGTGTAATGTATTATTGACAACGGGAAGTGCAGGAAGATATGTTTGACGATTTGACTACTGAAAATTTGAAAATGGGGGTTTTACCCCGAAACTATAGTCAAATATAGGATTGATTGACGACAAGTTATAAACCTCATTTTAAGTCAATTAAGCAATCGTGGAGGCAAATATGTATAGATATGCGTAGCTTTGTTACTGGCTAAGAACACCTGTTCTATTAGTCAGGATCGTTTGGTTAAAGCCCAATAATCAGGACCAGTTAGGTTTAGTTCGAACCATCAAAAAGATACTGACTTTTCTCAGTTAGTAGCTTTTGATTGTTAGGCGAGCGCAGTATCCACTAAACTATCAACCAGTTTATAACTACATAATTTTAGACGTATAAAACAAACCCAACTTACCTATTACAACAATCAAAAATAAACCTAGAGGTTCGTGTTGAAATTGTATGTTTTGAGCTGTTGTGTCACGTTATTTTTCGGAAGTACAGCTGAGAAGGTTGAAAAAAGAAATTTAAATTAATATTGCTCAAAATAGGCCTTCATAAAGTTTTGAAATTTTTCTAGCATACCAATGTTTAGTATTTGTTTTATTTTCTTCATTTCACAGTAGGGCCTTCTGGTTATTTTATTTTTTACCAACCATCGTACCAAACTGTCTTATTTATTTTTTAATCCTCTAAAACAGGCTAAAGAACCGAGTTTCATACTTTCCAAATTAAAACGTAAATGCTACAAAGCAATACCCATTATACATTACCGCTCTCTCAGAGAATTTCGCTATCTTGAGTTTTACCAGAATCCAACAATAAAACAAAGTACAAGCAGCACAGCCCGCGGCAAAGCTTTGTTACCCGTAAAATATTGCGGGGCTCAAAAAACTCTGTTGAGCTTTACAAAATAGAAACATGATCCAACTAATTTTCCTTATTATGTATAAAATAACTCATTAATAACTTATTATGTTTAATAATCATTATGAATGATAACTGGTAAACGAGTAATGTATTTTAGCTATGGTATATAATTATATGTATATATGATCACCGTTCAATACCTATATGGACATGAAAGGGAATTATTTGACCAAAATATAAATTGTGACTTTATATTTTGTACGTGTCGTATATATGATTAAGTTATTTGCTAATTAGACGTACACCTGGATAGTTTCAGTAACAATAAACAAGTAAATTATTTAAAATACAAATTTTATAAATTTAGATTAATTGTTTCCCCAAACATAAGTGAACGTAAAAAACGCACTTTTTAATAACCTTCATCTTTACAATGATTTTATACAATTGCAATTTTAAATAGTTTTATAGTCTTTCCCAGAGTAGCACTCCAATAAACTTGGAATTTTGTTTAATTCTATTTGACAAGTCAAGTGGTTAATCCATTCGTTCACAAAATTCGGAATTCTTCCATTGTGTTGTGAAAATAATTTTGTATGGAAAAGTTTTATGAGTACTCAGGTATATTCCTCATCAACTAAGGCAAATCAACAAAAATCCATCATATTTTTATGTTTCAACATGATTAAGAACTATTCCATCATTGCAGTTTAATTAAAGATGCGTGTTGTTTGACAGATAATATAATTAAAGTTTTTATATAGCAATGTCACTTAACTTTTGAAGCAAAATTATAAACTTTGAATTTTAGCTTCAAATAACTTTTTTTATAAACATCTTTGGGGAAAAGAAATACATACGTAAATCACTTAATTTAACAACACAAATATATATTTATAGGGGATGATAAATGTCGGTTTAAATTGGTTGAAATGTACTGTTGATGTTCTTGTCTAAGATAATTTCCTTAAAATAACAGTATACGAGTAGATTGTCAAATACACCCCATTGTTCACCGGATTTCTTTAAAAATAAAAGATACTTAAAAATGCATAATTTTTTATTCATTTAACTTTATTTGGTGTAAGTAACAATAATAAATATAAAGTCTATGCGTTCATTAATTTCAATAAGGTAGATACTTTACCATACACCAGTTAAAATTTTTTTATGTGTTATAGATCCAGATTAAATCTGCATTCTATGTAAGATTACATTTTTTATATTAAAATTAATTAGTTAAATAATAAGTTGGATTACAAAAATGTTTTCCAAATCATTACATTTTTGTGCAGGATCACCACACAAGCTTAGACAACTTTACTTAAGATGAAAGTAATTTTACGCATAACTTTCAATTAAAATAAGAATGGATCCAAAATTATGATGATAATGAATGATGTGGTATGAGTGAATATGAGGTAGGAAAAATATTCTTATACAACAATCTTGGAATATTAAATTTATTGGATATTATCTTTACTACTTATCTTGATATCTGTTTATCTATAACAATATTTTAATGTCAATTATTTCAGTAAAACATAAATGAGGAAAGTATTTTATTCCGTTACTTTAACTTTCTCAAAACGAAACTTACTTTTTGTCAATATGAATCATGAAAGGGATCCAAGAAAGCTGAAATGAACAAAAGACACTTTCAAGAGTGTTTATTTTGTAACGTTTCCAAAACAAATACTTTCCACCATCCTCTTACTGAAATTAATTTATTTGGTATATGTATGTGGTATTATATATTTTTCTGTTTCTAAAAATCCTGAATTGAATCTAATTTATTTTAGAATAAAAATTCTTACTACACTACTAAATCTAATTGAGTATAATTAATTTTAATTTTTAAAATACTAAATTTACTTCGTCGCCAGTTAAAACTCATTACGAATCAACTCAGGGAATTATAAATCATTTACCGTTATCCTTAATGTCCACTAACTTTTGTACACGTTGAAATACAAAATAAACTACACAAATTTTTACAACGGAATAATTAAACGCTCCATCACTCCTTAAATTTACTTGACACTACTAAAAGAAACAAAACTATAACTATGTAAAGAGTGAAAACTCACGAATCTTAACGTTATCCAAGTTCTGTGTTAGGGGCGGCGTTATATCACACACTGACTGAGTACGGTCCACCCTCAACCCCTGGCCGCGTTCCGAACACTGCCGAACATCTCCGATCATTCTCGAGCTTCGGAATCCGCGTGTTATTGGCGTTGTTCGGATATCTCGGAGATCAAAGCCCCAATCACCAGATCTGGCCTGGAACCGACATCAATCTCTACTCGGTAACTTATCGTACAAAGTCAAACGCAAAACATCAGTGGTCCCAGAGTTGCACCCTGCGGTGCTCCCATCTCTCCTACACAGCATCTCATCGATCCCGTACCTCATTGCTTTGGGCAGTGTTTATTGTTCGGTCTAGTTTCACAAGGCCTTTATGTGCGCTGGAAACATTAATCAAACTGAACTGGGTCGTTGGGTCGCATAAACTTGACAATTTCGTTATTGCTTCCTGTTCAGGCTTCCTGCTAGTTGACAACGTTACATAATATTCATATTTTTTTGCTGGAAATGCGTAAAAGCATAACTAACTAATGATTTGACTTACTATACAGTCATTATGAATGTAAAAGCCAAAAGAGGACAATAATATTAATAAATAATTATTGAGTTACACTTAAAATAGTAATAAATATTAGACTGGTTTTACGATAGGAAAATACATTTAATAATCTTGAGTTTCATGGAATAGAAGTTTGTAGGGTTTCTATCAAAAAATGTGTTTAACAGTATCTATTAAACGAGCATATACGAATTGAGTTAGATTAAACAACCTTTTCACTGAATAATATGTCAATGAATAACCCCCCCCCCTTAACATTATTGTTTTAACCCACCTGACCCTTTTACCTTTTAAAAATGTCATTATTTTTATAGTATGGTGATAAAACTCAAAGATATTGCAGAAGTTTTCTGTTTGTTATTTAATTCTAATTTATCATTTTTGATTATGAACCTTATACTATTAATGCTAATTAAGAGTAGTGTATTTATTTGTTCTTGTGGTATGGAAAATATTATAATAGTCGATGCGGCAAGTTGTTTAAACCGAAATTATTGTATGGTGTAAAATTGATTATCTTTTTACGTTTTATAAATTTAATAATGACTTTTATCAGGTTCAATTTGTCTACGTGTCTTATTGAGTATTCCTGAATGTGAAACATTACGTAATAACAAGTGCAGTTATTTGTTCAAATTTATTCATGTACGTAGAACATAATTATTTAGGGAATATATTATAGCTCTCACAATTAATTATTTCCCTACACTTCGTATTTATTATTTTTAGTGGCCTGTCATAAAATACTGTTTCCAAGTAAAGTTATGTGAAAATATTTTAATCATGGATGACAAATAATGTTGAAATACACGAATTTGAGCTATATGCTATTTAAGATGCAACGAATTTACTTCCCTCGTATTCCAATAATTCAAGTTAGTTAGTGCCTAATGTCTCTGCGTAAATTTTAGGGCAGGCACAACGGATATTTGAACAGAAACTGTATGGATCAAACACATAATCAAATGGCGTTACATGCCCTAATATTATACTAATAGCCTTAACTTATGGTTTGGACTTATTTTTACAGTTTTATTTTAATAATAATACAAACATGATAACCATCGGGCCAGTGACATGATTTGTTAATGATTATGATCCATACATTCGGTGTTTTAATATCTGCGGCAAAAACATCAATTTAAATTGCAATTACTTTTGCTGAAGCGTTAGAATTTTTATGAAAAAGCTACGTAAAAAACTGCAGTATGTTTGCTAAGTATCCTTCTATAGCGTGAACATCCTACAGCCCTCTTCGTATGAACCCAGTAGATTGGTTTGAAGCACGTTCAAAGACATCAAAGGCACGAGAAGCTAATCACCTAACACTCCACCTGAGTGATCAAGTAAACATCCTTTGATTTGCTGTTTCAACACTTAACTACCTCTTGTTATCGAACCTAAATTGTCTAAGGTCTAACTCTCTTAATTTTTTTACTAAATATTAATCCTATCATGCACAGATATTTTTTTGTCATTATTTTAAATAGGTAAAAATAATTGTCACGATCTTTAATAGCAAGGTTTTTAGTTTTATTTTATTCTTTTATTTTATGCCTTTAAACATTTTATAAGTTTTTTGTCAGGGGACAATTCAAACTCTGGTAATCTTACCATCTCAAGTTGACATTTTGTTTGTAAGCAACATTTCCTTAAAAGCACAACGAAAATGACATTCGATCCAGATCCAATCTTGGTTGGAGTTGAACCATAGTGACCTTCAAGTTTGAAGTGCTCTTTGACCATTTGGTTACATGATAAATCATGTGGTATTTGTTTTTCTTAAAAAGTAGTTAGCAAGTGATGAATATTATTTTTGACAAACATTAATTTAGATCAAGCATAAAATCACACACACACATATATATATTAGATTTTTTTTATGTTTTTGTTTCTAGCTTGCTACATCTTATGGATGTATTTAGTTTTTTTATTTTAGAAGCTAAAATATTTCTAAAAACTGATTGCAATTGTTATAGTTTCTTCATAACATTAATGATTTAGGAACTGGAAGTAATAAAAGACAAATCATCAAAATAACCAATAGCCAAACTTTTTGAACTAAATATATCAAAGAAAGTTGTCAAACGTTTGGTAATTAAAAAGCTCGAATTTATGATTGTTTTAATTTACTGTTAAAGTTTGCTTTCGTCCATGAATAATTGACTTTACATTCACTTGTACAAATGCTTTTCTCAGAAATAATAAATGATTACAACAATGTTTTTGGACCAGTGGTGAAAAATAAATCCGTCCAGTTACACATTTAACTTACGATTTAATTCCTGACAGTCAGATATTTTAGTTTAATGTTTAATAACGTTTTAACCAAGAACTTAAAGTTGAAATATTTCTCTGTCTAATCTCTGCAGACTAACAGTTGTATTGATTAGCAATATAATAGTTTAAAATCTTCTAAATATGAAATAAAATGACAAAAGAAAACATAACAGTTGTCATAATATATGTTAAATTCATCAATGCAAAGCGTTTTATGTGAGTTTATTATTTAAGAAGGGATATTTATACTGTGCATGTTCAACACACCTTTATGAGGAACTTCCGTTTTTGTTTTACGTGCAAAAAAGTAAAAAATCCTTGATAAAATCGTAATGTTAAACTTTAAAGATGTTAAACTCGTCATTTCAAAACAGCAAAGTCTAAACAGTAGAAACCAGTTGTAAAGTTAGTTTGTTGACCTTCCAATTACTGCTTTCACAGCCTCATGTGGGTTAAACTCCAACACAACTCCTTGATACTGTAGTAACTTTACCTGTGAGTAGGTATAATACTGTAAGAGACATTCTAGTATGTTAATTTGGTGTCACATGAGTAATTTCTTTGGAAAACCGTATGTAAAAACTGTAATTAATGTACTTTAAGCATCAATATCATTGAGTTAATTAATTTCATATTGGTTTACGTTAGTAATGTGATTTTATATATTATATTTTAAAAGCCTGACATAAATGAATTAAATTTTTAAATTTCTGTTTCATAATTTGATGTTTATTTAGATGCAGCATAAAAGAATAATCCAAAACAAATATCAACATTTAAAAGAATACATTTTCAAAGAAAGCATGGAAAGTTGAAAGCAAAAGGGCTTTTTCCAAGAGCCGTAGCTGTGTATGTTTGAAGAAAAGGATTCCTTAGAGGTCCCTGGAGAAGAGTAATTACAAACAAAACCGACAAAAGGAAAGGAATAGCGAAGTCAGTCAAGTATTCTCCTGAGTCCAATATAAATAAATCCGCCGAACTCAACTTCATACAGATCATTTGGGATGTGTCCTGGGAAGGATTTACGGTTTGATCCATACTGTTGATATGTATATATAAACTATTGATACAATCTCCAACAGCAACCTCCTGTTACTGTATTAGTATTGGAAATCATATTTATTTATATATCTAGGTATGTTTGTAGGGGTATTAAAGAAACACCTTACTATCGTGTCATTATTAAATACATTATAAATATCTAGCAAGGTTGATTTACACACATTGTTAGAATAAGTTAGTAGAATGGTTGTACCATTGACTATACACCTCTACATAAAGTAGAGAAGTGTATAGTCAATAGTTGTACTTTTTAAAACGAACTTATTGATAAGATACGCAACAACGTCAAGGGATGATAAATTAGTTAGGTTAATAAAAATTACTGTACAATTTTTAATATATTTTTACGTTTAATTTGATCTACTCAGATGTCCATGGTTCATTATACTATAAATACCTTTTTGACTTATTCTACCTTTTGAATATGCAAAAGAGTGTAATAACTTAAATTCATTCGAAATAAGAGAAAATTAAATTCCGTAACCTGTCATAGGGTAACACGTTCTGTTTGGGTATAGCCTCGTCGTCAAAGGTTACGAGTTTTGAATATTTAACAAGATTTGCTGACTCTGTGTATTTTTATTAGTCTGATAACGCTTTAGGTCATTTTTGGTGTATACTAATTGTTTTGAAAATACTTAATTATTATCCCAATTTAAAGGCCACAGCGTGATTGAATTTAGGCAAATGACGTGCGTTACAATTTAAGAATTATATTATTACTAATTGTACGCAACTGGTGTATTTCTACCCAAATATGAGTGAAGGATGAGTGTAGAATAAAGTGAGATGCCTTTTGTAGCTTTGTTACCTCCTATTGAAAGGCTAACTTTGTTAATGTCTTGAAAATCAGCTGCTAGTTTTTTAGCCAGGACCATATATCCCATATGCTCAAAGATCAAGATCAGCTGAGTCCAGTTTTGAACCATTAAACAGATTATCTAAGATGAAAAGACAAGCACAAAGCTAAAATCATGTGTACCCTTGTTTGAAAAATATATCCTTCCATAAGGTTTATGGTTTAAGGTTTATAAGGTTTATCCTTCCATTAGGTCCATAAGGCGATTTTAGTTTGACCAGCAGAATAAGGAACTGTTATAACTTGTACAGTTTGTAACTTGGTGTAAGAAACATTACGCTCCTAAAAATTCTCGAATATCTTTCCTTTAAATCTGTTTATGGTATTTA